CGAAGGATCATAAATTTGCCCGCCAGCTCGAGTGTGATCTAGATGCCCTCTTTTTTAGTATATATAAGCCTGGCAAACGAAACCAGCAGCAGATAAATAACTGAGTGAAGCAAACAGTAGGCACCATAAGTAAAGTGTGTGAATCACTGTGATTTATAGCGTGTATTATAAAAGTTGTTAAGTTTAGAGTGACGATGTACATACGCACTGTGAAATTACTGTGTATTAAAAGTTTGTATCGAGGAAAAATAAACTGGGTTAATCAAGAAAGGACTTGTATCGCTGAAGTTTCTCGGAAGGAATTTATACCGGAAATTAACAAACAAGCAGATACGCAACTTGCACTTTTCTTTTGGTGCACTATGAATTTGTCAGTCCGAGGCCAAGAGCATTCAGTTCCGATTTTAACCCTGGATTCGGACTGTTACACATCATATCCTTAATTTCTCGTTCCTTAGCTAAATTTAACAAGTTATTATTGATCCTTTGGTGAAATATTTCACCTTTCATATTCCTCTCCGGCCCGGTGTTACGATAAAAGACGCTGGATGTAATTTTTAAACTAGGTTTAAATTGGTATGAGTGGAGTATATTTCCCACAGAAGTGTAATAAAAACGCCTATGATACTTACAGATAAAGTGGTCCTATGTTTTAACAACAGATAAAGTATTCGGACTGTTAATGATGTGTTTGAAATTATTATCAATCTTATTCTGATGTAACAAGACACCGTGCCCATGGGCGCCCTCAGGAAGGGGCAAGAGCTGGCATTTGCCCCCCTTAATTTCACAAAAAATTGCACGTATTATGATGTAAGCTTAACATCGTAATTAAAGTAATTATTTTTAGTAATCTTTATTAAAACTGTACATTTTGTTTGCGTTTAAGCACGCATAACACACATTCTTTTAGTCTGTTGACTTTCACTGTAAAAGCTGATGTCCCACATACATGTTTTGCCCCCCTTCCCCGTAAATATTTCTGTGGGTGCCCATACCCATGCTATAACTATTGGTAACAAAAAATCATGCTTCGCAAACTTAGGCTTAATACATTATAGAGCATGAATTTTTGAAGTAAAATATCATACTATGAGATCCAGATTAAGTATTTGTAATTTCCATGTACTTAAAATACAGATTTATTGTATTCTATCTTCCACAAGTAGACCGTACGTACCGTGACTGCCCACAGCGGAATTGCTACACATAGTTTACTTTTAGAAAGGTTCGATAAACTTGAGATTACATAAATAAATAAATAAATAAATAAAACTATGTCGTAAATCTCCAGAAACTGACATAAAATTTTGAAGCAGTTTTACTGTCATGTTTACTGATTGTCGGTTGAGACTCTCAATTAAAGATTAACAGATATGTTTAAATAATTACTGCAAGCTATAAAACGCAATTTGAAACTCCAGCAAAGTTAGTATCAACTCGTTATCTTTTATTATTGAATATTACACTTAACAAACATTGAGTTTAGTACTTATTTATTGAAATTTACAGCAAGAAATGTACAGATACGTTAGTATTCAACAATCAACCATTTAACTGTTAAATTAGTGCCCGAAATTTTCTAGAACACTTAAACCATCATAGTTAATTTATAGAAATTTATCGAAACGGAAAGAAACTATTGTTTCTCTTACTAAAACATGTAAAAATACAATGTGTTTTGAAAGAATAAAATCGGTAAGAGATATAATGCACACGGCAATTCTGAAAATGTCACTGTTTTAACTATAAATGTTAAAAAAAACACTTTTCACAAATGTAGAGTAATCTCTTTATCGTAACAAAGAAAGACAATTCATTGGTATTTTCTCAAAACTAATAAATTAGTTTGTAGCTATGTTAAGTAGGGTAACGTAAGAATAAAATATGATAGCAATAATTTGTTCATTTCAGCACAGAGTAAGATTTTTAGCAAAAAAAACCCATTTGTTAGTTTGTACTCTTTGTTACCTAATACCAGACATTAATATGTTGAATATTAACTCTTAATAAACTAACTGGAAGTAAATCCGTCATTTTCATCATCCAGATATAATAACAAAGATTGATAGTACAAAATACATAATGTTTCGTTCCATTGTTTTTGTGGCTTTTTCTAGGCTGGAACATCAATTTAATCAATTTGCACAGATTCAATGTTTGCTTGTTATTTCTTTCTCAGATCCTGATGTATATCCACTACTTATACTTTAATTATGTTGTACACCTCCATGACTATAATGCTCAGTTTTTTGTTGTCGTTTTAAAATAAACTTTAACACTTGTATCATTTTCTATTAGATCAAATGATTAGAACACATACTGTAGAGTAAAATATTTATCTGTTGTTCCAGTCCCTCACCTCCACCAACACTGTTTCAGGTTTGCGTGATGTCTTCACCGATTTGTTCTCTTCGTGGTTCTTGTGGTTGGGTATCAGTGTAACAGTAGTCTTAGTGCAAGTGTCCTTAATGTCCAAAGGGATGGGCATGGCTTTAAATGAGGTAACTGTTGTTCCAGGAGTATGGGGATGAGGACGAATAGACCTTTCCTCTGAGAAGTATTTAGGAAGAGTAGTACACACAAACACACCTCCGACTGGTGGAGATGGGGTTGGGCAGAGAGGAGATTTTTCTGATGATTCTATTTGGGAGGATGAAGATACATCAAATGTAGATGTTTCTTTTACCTTCATAAGATAAGGAGTTCGGGAATCTTTCAAGATGTCATTATCTTCGGAACTGGATGGTGGTGAGTTTCGACGTTGATGTCTACTGTTGTAATTTGTTGTGGTTGACATCTGCATAACTTCATTACTGGGATAAATAAAGTCAGGAAGGTTTTGCATAAATTCTTTTTGTTTTTCATAAAGTTCAGATGATGATTCATTATTAACAATAGTGATTTCAGTATCTTTTCTATTAGACTCATCTCCGTAATATATATTGTAGCAACTGTGGTGGTAAGAGCCTTTTTCTTGCGAAACATCACTCTCAACTTTTGTATCTTCATGACAATGTTTATAAATGTTATCACGAAGTTCTGCGTGGTAGTAGGAATTATTCAAGTCACTTACATTCAGTTGTTCGGATGACTGCTTTGGCATACTCTTCAAACTGTCTTTCTGCTGTACTATGTAACTTCCGACTGCATTGCCAAAATTGCTATTGTTGATGTTTGACAATTGTTTATAGTTAATGCTTTCTCCCAAAATTTCAGACTCGTGTGTTTTATTTTTAGCACCTCCGTGGTAACTGACATTAAGTTCATCTCCAAAATAATATGTACGAGGTGTGCGTACTGCAGAGACTTGTTCCCGCTCCTCACAAAGGTTCGACAGAACTAGTCTTATATGGTGTATGAATACCACATTCTTCGGAGAATTTTTGAGGAGACGTAGGAAAAGTTGTGGGATGATAAGCGTCCTCCAAGAGGTTCACTTGGACAAAGCGATCTGCTCTATCAATAGTTTGAGGTGAAGACTCATCTATAAATCTTGTATTCTGTGGAAGGATGTGTAACATAACGGAATTATAAAAGTCCCCGTGGAAAGAGGCATGCCTTCCTCAGAAACTGCGAGATTACGTGATACTTCATTGTAAGAAGAACCATTATCGGGAGTCTGGTTTTCTGAATGGAAAACCTCTAATTTGTGCTCTTTATTTTTCTTGTCTCTATCTTCTTCTTCTAGTGTAGTTTTGTTTTCATCTATGACAAAAGCTTTTGACTTCCGTGGAATATACTGAGACAACAGACGTGAAGATCCTTGTCTCGGCGAATTTAGCTGATAGTTGGATAAGATATAGTTAAAGTTGTCTTTTCCTAAACCAGCCAGTGGAGTAGTTTTGGCGCTTTCTTTATGTGACGGTAAAGCTGATGTTTGAGCCTCAGAAAGCTTCCGTGGTTTTGAATCCCACTCTGATATTCCTAGAAAATTTTTAGTTTTAGTTTTTTCGTGAAACGTTTTACTTAAATAATTTTTGTTTTGTTCTTCATAACCTTGAGGAAATGTAAGGTCACTTTTTACACATTCTTTGTCAAATTGAGTATGAGAAGGAATTTTGGAGTCTTCGGTGAACTGGACGTGTATAACCTTTTTAGTTTGTTTTGTCTGTAATGGTTCGAATTCACTTCTACTGTCTGAACCAAAATGATGTTTTAGCCAACGGTTTGCGTTATACTTTTTTATTTCTTCTTTTTCAACATCCAGGTCTGCTTTAGTAATTGAATCTCGTCTCAGAATATTTTGTTCTCTCTCTTGTGGTATTCTCATATTCTCCGATCTATCTTCATAGTACTCAGTGTTTTTGTTAATTTCAGTAGAGAATTTTGACATTGTTGCTTCGTAAGCTTCATTCTCAAGAATTTCATGTTGATCCTCGTAATGTTGTGTCCTGGAGGTTTCTGTGATCAGTTCTCCATTTTTCAGTTCAGATACTTCTTTAATCTCCTCCTTATCTCTCACTTTCTGATCATAGCTAAAAATAATGAATGATTTTTTCTTGTAATGACTTATTGAGATCTTCCCCTTGACTGAGAAATCCATCGCTATGGTCTGGTATCTTGTTAAGAAAATCCTGAAAGTATAAAAAGGTATAATGGCATTTATGGATGTATATAACCCGTGGCAGTGACGTATAACATACAGTACAACGTGTCGGTAACAGAATTTATAATTATTTTTATATTATCTTCTTTTCAAACTTTCATACTCTTAAGATATATTATGCAAATTAAACATTAATCAGCTACTCACTGTGCCTGTAACATCCTGGAAACTTTCATCACAGAGCTGTTTACTTTCTTCTTTGTTTTCTCTTACGGTGTGCTTGGTCACAATTTTTTCAGTGACCAGTCGGGCTGATCCACGATCATCTAGGCTTAGATCATCGCCACCTGTAGCTTTGTACTGGTGAGTGAGATTGTTATAACCTCATTAGTAATATTGTCTAATATGCTTAATTTTCTAACGGCAATTCAGTTTCTGTAGTTAACATTCAGGAATGTAGTAATTATCGGAAGACTGAAGAATTTTGAGCTTACGTGGCATTACTGTTAGGTGACTATATAGGCATATATATATATAAAGCTCATCTGCATATTTTGAAACATAAGCTACTAAGTATTACTTAATACATGTAAAGGAATAATCTCCAAGTAATAAATTAAATCATAAACACTGCAACGTATAAAATTTGTCAATTTAGCTCAAATTATATCGATATCTAGTGTTCTCAAGACAATTCGTTCCTTTACACCTAGTAACATATTATATTCTTACATCTGTATTTTCTGTTTCCTCTTTATGATTGTCTTCTGTAGTTTTAGTAGTAATTTGAGGTCCACTGTCTTCCACCACCTTTCCATCTTCATACATTATCTGGCGCTGAACCCGCGTCTCCACCTATTGGTCATAATATTCAACGCATATTTGATAAACCTTTATATCAAATTATTTGCACGATATATGAGGTTAAAGATGTACTTGTGCTGCATACATGTGCGATAAATTATACTATCTACAAACACTAATAAACAGAATGTTTTCTCCCGAGATAACACTGTGGTAAATATCCCATTACAAGTTTGTATAAAGATGTGTTATTCAGTCATCTAACTACAGAGTTATGTTCACCCAATATATCAGAATGATAATCTTGTGAACTAGAAACAGTGGAACCTGTAGTTACTAACTCAAAGATACTTGTGCTGGTTACTTGACCTTCTTACCTGTCTACTTTTGTGGTTGACAACCTTTTTGGTTGAGGTCCATTCCTCTAAAAAAATGAAAGAAACAAAGGTGATTTTTGTTTTCTCACAAAGCATCATTATACCTTGTGTTTAGCAACTGAAAACTAATTCAGATAATCCAATATTAAGCTACCTTTACTAAAGTTGTGTATTTAACGGGTCACTTTCTAAAACCACTTAGTCCCTATATATAAAGCAACAAAAAGTTTTATAAAACATATTACACCAAAAGGAAGGATAGCGGGAATTTTACGTAGCGTATCCAAACCTTAGATGAAATATAATTAAAAAAACATTAAAATTAAATTTCACCTCTCCATAAAATAACATGAAATTATATATATATATGCATATAGTTGCGAATTTCCTGACCCAGTAAGATTAATTTATTTGTTTTAGGCCCAAACTCTATACCGGGTGTCTCTCTTCCGCACCTCATAGAAAAGAGCGTGTACTTCTTTTATCCATCATGATAATCATTAGGAAAACTGTTTACGATTGGGAAACACGATTTAAATGCAGGGATAGCTGTGAAATGTAGGTGTATTGATTTTAAACCGCTTAAATACGGTAAAGAAAGGTTAAAGTGGATATTAGGTCTCTCGTTTATGAAGACTGATCCAGCAAGGAAATCGTATTTTTTTTTTACATGTTCGAACTTTGATTCTTACTTTTCAAAGCAGGAATTTTTGGAAAATCTTCTAATGACTGTATGACCAGGCAGTGAAAGATTTAATAAAATGTAGTTATTTCTGAATATAAATGAAATCACCTTAACGTTATTATTTGTCAAATTAATATTGTTAGCGCTGACAAAACATATACCGCTTAAATAGCAATCAAAAAGCCGTTATTTCTATGACTTGTTTCTATTCCAAGATTTGTTTTAATACAGTAACGTAAATCTATATCAGGCTAATTACACTACGGTGTAACTATTTGACGTTCATTACAAAACAGAGGTACAACTCTCACTATATTTTCTGTAGTTTATAATTACAAAACAGAGGTACAATTCTCACCTGTTTTATTTGTTTGTTTCGTTTTTTACATTTACTATTTACAAAACAGAGGTACAATTCTCACCTGTTTTATTTGTTTGTTTCGTTTTTTACATTTACTATTTACAAAACAGAGGTACAATTCTCACCTGTTTTATTTACTTGTTTCGTTTTTTACAGTTACCAACGAATAGTAGGATTGACTGTCACATTATAACGTCCCCACGGCTGAAAGAGCGAGCATATTTGGTATTTAGTACCATTAAACTATTGAATTTAAAACCTGAATCATTGCATTTCACATAATGAGTGTTTAAGGTAATTATTTTAATTAGATTCTGTATGTTTATTAGACTCATTCTGTTATGATAAATTTTTATCAGCAGCCTTATCGTTTTATTTTGTGACTGTTGTTTAGTCTATATATCATTGTTTATTGTGGTACACTCTTAATTACTTTTCTTTGCAATAAAATTCCATACACAGTTAAATATTTTACTATTTTTTGATACAGAACAATCTTATCTGCATTTTAGCCAACTGTCTTTTTTTTTACTAACTCTCGCTTTTAATTTTTTTTGCAGTCATCTGAAGTGACAGCGGCAATAAAACGTGGTGAGAATTATACCTCTGTTTTGTAAATAGTAAATGTAAAAAACGAAACAAGTAAATAAAACATGGTGAGAATTATACCTCTGCTTTGTAAATAGTAAAAGAATAGCTCAAGAGTTGGTGGTGGGTGATGTTAACTAGCTGCCTTCCCTCTAGTCTATCACTGCTAAATTAGAAGCAGTTAACGCAGATAGCCCTCAAGTAGCTTTTTGCGAAATTCCCAAAACAAACAAACAAAAAGTAAAGTGATGTGATATGGGTTTTCAACTTCAATGGCAGTAAACAAATAAACATGAAGTGTGGTGATTTGGGTTTTCAAGTTTAGTGGTATAATGGTATTAAACAAAATAAAAACTTTTAAACCTCCAAAACATTTTTATTTTGACCACTCACAGCTTATTCAATGCGTAATTTTAAAGTGTTTGTACTGTAATATTTCCCTATTTGTCCGATTGACTGAGAGATGAGTTATTTAAAAAAAGATCGGATAAGATAGTAATTACCCGGTGTAGCTATTTAACTTTTAACATGTAAATGTATAATCTAACATTGAATAGAAGGGTTTGTATTGTGTTATTGATATTATTATTGTGGAATTTTAATATTCTCAGGTTTTTATGTATGTGTGTGCCGGATTCTTTACAGTAGATGTCTGTGACTTGTTGGCGATAAATTTCAACAATAAATATACAGCATACAGTCTACTTGTTTAAATAATACATTAAAACAAATCAAACTTATTTACAACTGTTCGTTACGCAGTTAATTACCACAATTGTATTCAGAGCTTTAAATAATTGTCTCTTTTTGTCAAAGTCCACACAGGTTGGATGTAAAACGTTATCAACTCCTTGCATGTGATGCAGTGTACTCATGGAGGGAATGCCACTCACTGAA